GACGTAGTGTGTTGGTAGTAGTATACTAACAACTAACGTACTACGTATACTATTATATATATATATATATATATATATATATATATATATATATATACACACGAGTATGATCGTGTTGGTAAACTTTCAATCTTACACCACCAGGTCTACGTTATTTTGAAAACTGAAGATCAGCACGTATCAAAACGTTGTCTCCAAACAAACTCAAATATCTGAATGAATCCCATTAACCCTTTTCATTCTACAAGTACCAGAGTACTTTTCGTGTAGTAAGATTGTAGCGTTGTCTTGGTGAATATCCCATACGATCATGGACCGATCTGATTTATTAATTAGCTACAAATTTGATTATTATAGTTATTATTATATAGTAATTAATATTAACTGCTGCCGTCTTCAGGAAAATTCTGAGAACTTTTTATTGTGATGGGGATTCGATCCCGGATCTGCTTCATAAAGAGGTTGTGCTATACGTCAACAACAACAACAACAACTAAAATTCTCTCAAGGTTTCTTGAAGACGGCATGCGAAACGTTAGATATAACTAATTAATAGATCACAAACTAAAGACCAAAATGCTTGTGATGGCGGTGACGACAAAAATGGGTACCAAAGTGCCAGATTGTAGAAACGTGAGTTTAAATCCAAATATGTCTTCTCAAACACACGCGAGTCTGCGTCATATAATAATATAATTAATGGGTGCATAAATTTGAATATTAGTATGTACACATTCGTACATACAATAATTATAATCCTCAAGTAACCGTGTGTATTACTACTCAGGTTTTGTATTATGGTGACATATTCTCTGTTGTATATCAAATGTATTTATTAAACCTTCTTGAGTCTATAAAGTGAATAGGTTAGCAGCTACAGGTATAAAGTACTTAAATCTTGAAATAGCGCTTATTCAAGATAGTTTTATCTTTTGTTCAGTTTACGTAATGACGTACTCGTTCTATGCATTTCTAATAATCTATTGTAAAGTTTTGATTTAAGCGCCATCTATTGACTTAGTCTTGTAATAAAGCTTTAAGTAAAAGTTAATAGTATAATAGACAATTAAAGTGTTAATGCTTACCTTTTTATTTTATGGTGACGTTGTTTGAATTTAAGTTTTATTCTTCAAGCCTGTGTAACTAAAGAAGCAGGATTTATAGTTATTCAGCCAAAGGACCTGGTCAGTTAATGTACAATGTACTTAAACACTATCTGTTACACATCTAGTTTAAATTCCCAGAAGGAAATACAAGCATAATTTGGGAATTATATGTAAGAATTATCTGTGTAGGTTTTTGTCAGCAATATAAAAAACAAACTAAATGGATATGTATCAACATATTAAGTAGATCAAGTAATAACATTTTTGTTAAGTCTTGTGTGTGTGTGTGTATATGTATATATATAAAGTTAACACTATAAATCTTATTAGAGGTAAGTAATCTATATACAACAAAATGTTTCACTGAACCATGCTATATAGGTAATCTTGCATAGTTATGCCTAATAAATTTCAAATGTGTGATCTAACTTCACTATTGATTGTGGATATATTCATATAATCTACTAGCTTCACACTATTGACTGTTGATATGTTCACGTGATCTAATAACTTCACACTCTTGACTGTTGGTAGATCACGTGAACATATCCACAGTCAAGAGTGTGAAGTTAGTAGATCACGTGAACATATTAACTTCACACTCTTGACTTTGGATATGTTCACGTGATCTACTAACTTTACACTCTTGACTGCGGATATATTCACGTGATCTACTAACTTCACACTATTGGCTGTGGATATGTTCATGTGGTATACTAGTGGTACACTCTTCTTTCAACTATTTTTTTTTTTTTTTCAGAATGTTTGGTTCCTCATTAGAACACAACTTTACCCGTCCAAATGACCGAGGAGAATATGAAGTGGCTGAAGGAATCTCTGCAACTGTGTTTTGTGCCATTTTAGTAGGTTCCAAAATGTTTTATGACATCTTACTCTTTGTAATAAACATTTTAGTATTTGAGTATGTGTCTTAAGCTTAATTTTTCATATTTTCAAATTGTTTTTGATTTGAAAAAAACTAACTCTTTTGTGAATTTTTAATACAATTATTGATAGTTTTTACATATCAATTATTTTTAGGAATTTTACAAGACTGGCGCTATTAGATGTCCACCAAGCGTATCAGTGCCTGAACTTCGTGAAGCTTGTGATTACTTGCTGATTCCTTTTGATTCTCAGACAGTCAAGTGTCATAACCTGAGTATGTTGCTGGCATTGTATATTTAATATCACAGGTGTATAAGCTGTGAAAATTTGTTATTTATACTCACAAAGTAATGTAACTTTGTATAAGATATCCCCTCCTAAAGTCACCAATCGCACCTTCTGTAAATCAATTGAATTGCACAAAGTTCTTCTCATCAATTATCTTGAACTTTTTGTAACATCAAGCTTCATAGTTTGAGTCAATTGGGAATTACTCGAAAGACTTGTAGCTTAAGTAAGATAAAGGAGATCCTTAGAAAGCAAAATATCCCAGTTTGACTAAAATCTTGTTAAATTATTACAGAACACTGTAGTTCTTAATCAAATATTAACCATTTGAGCTTAGTGTCAGAGAATGTTAAATAATCACCTCTGGTATGTTTAAACAGAAGTTCAGTTAATATGAATGGCTTATACTGTAGATGTGTTCACGTGATCTACTAATGTCACATACTTCTGTTTGTGGATGTGTTCACATGATCAAATAATATCACACACTCCTTTTAATATTTCTAGGACACATAAAACAGTGATTGCTAATTCTTACTCTGGAACTTCAGGTTTAAAATTTCTAGACGTCCTTTTCTTCTTACGTTTATTACATGAGGAGATATATCACAATACTTGAGTTTCCTGCTCACTATTTTACAAACAGGAATACAAAATACTTGTTTAGCTTGAGGTTTAAAGTTGGAATTCATAAATGTCACAAGTTTTTAGTTAGGGTTTTTTACTGTTAGAAATAATTCTAAATATACAGTGTGTCCATTAATTGACAAGCTCTTCTAATCACTTACTAAATGATGGGCTTTAATATGTTGGTTTATGAAATTTTCCAAACATTTCAAAGTAATGATTGATGTGAATTGTCCAGTTAATTTGCCCTTAGTTTTCAGTTGAATTTTGCAAATAATTCAGAGAAAATCACTTCTGATGTGGAAAGGAAGAGACGATAATCAAATTCCATTGTTATCAATAGAATTTCAACAACTTTTGTTATATACTAGTTTGAAAAAAAATTTTAATGTATGTCCAATATTGTGTTGTTTTTTTCTCTGTTTAACCTAAAATTAAGATATTTTAGAAACGTTCTTGTCAGAAGTATTTCTGATACATGCATGTTTATTAGATTCAAGTTTCATATTAGAATCATTGAGCATATTCTTATGTTTCACCGACATAGATCATAATCATAAAACTTGTACAAATTGTGTAATCTAGTGATGATTATTGTACAGGATCACATCTGTGTCAAGCATAGTGGTTTACTATTTTGTAGGGATGCACAGGTACCTAACTAGGTACCTGGTAATACTCGGCTCATGCCAAGTGTCAAAGTTAAGCATCTAAGCACTAATCTTTGTGTCAACTAAAAGTTACAGTCAGTAATTGGTTTAGTTATTAAAAAAACATGTTCCGAGCAACAAAAACTGACTGCCCGCTGAAAGTTGGGGATTCAGAGAACAATAGGGGCTAATAACAGGAATGGCTTGAGAAGTGAATTTCTGGGGAAGGTGGGGGTTTGAGAACAATAGGGGTTAGGGTTTGAGAAGTTGGGGCTAGGCATTGAAAGTTGAAAGTAAAACTTGAATGTTCTGTTGGTGATTATTTGGTTAAATGTAAAATCTCAATTTTGTTTTGTTTCTAATTTTTGTGTATGTTGTTTTTGGGGGGGGCAAGGGGGGAGAACCCGGTCCCAGTTAACATGTGACCCCGGCCAAAGCTTATTGACCCGGTACCCAGACCCGGTATTCGGCCAATTTTACTACCCATGCATCCCTACTACTTTGTATTTCATTTTCTGATATTCCTGAGTTTAGATATTTTGATACTGTATTCTTCATTGCAATATTATATGTTCAGGTTCTTTATTTTCAATTCATAAAAGTCCAGCATTGTTATCAAGAATAAAAAAAAACTCCATGTCCTGACTTTGGTGGTAAAAATGACCTAAACAAGATAGTTGACACTTGAAAGTGTCCATGTTGCCAGAAATATATCAGAAACATTTTAACAATAAACCACTATTGCTTTGTTAATCCTTTTCTTTTTTTATGTAGTTTTGTGTAATTGAGACCTTTCAGTCTTGTTTCAGTACAAAAAAACCTTTTACAGTTAAAAAAAAAAAGAAGGCATATTAATTGATAATCATCAGGTTATTTTTGTAAGTTGTTACAACATTTAACTTTAAATTGCAGAGACCTCAGGGTTAATTAAAGAACAACATGCACATTTTTTTTAAATTTAGTTTAAGGAAAATGATTAAGTTTTTGTTTTTTTCTCACCAGGGGGTTTGCTACATGAACTCTCTAATGAAGGAGCAAGACAACAATTTGAGAAGTTCTTAGAGGAAGAAGTTCTTCCAGCAATGGTGGCATCTGCTCAGGCAAGACTTTTAAAAGACATGTTTACGGCAAGACATGTTTATGAAGAAACATAATAAATTCAATAATGTTATCTTCTGGGGTTTTTGTGTTATGAGGATAACAATTTCTGATTGAATATAGATGTATTTTGTGGTACCTGTATTTTCTTATACTTATAAAGCAGCAAACTTTTTATAAGGACCTTGAAAAACTTGCTAAAAAACTGAAATTTTATGGACTTTTACTTCCTTATACTGTATTTTGTAAAAACTTTGGTACTCTTTGCCAAAGTCATAAAGCTTGGAATTTTCTCTTCTGTTTGATTTTATGTATGATTAATTTTTAATATTTTGACAGTCAATGATTTTTAGAGGTAATGGAATACGTTGGTTGGAGACCGTGAATGACCATATCTTTCAAATTACAGGTTATTATTACCAACAGCTGACTAGCCTGTTTACTCTATTAAAACTTAATGAGCTGTATCTCACAGGAATTAATATATTTTGTATAAACGTATAGTAAAAACACATCTAATCAAAAACACCTTAGGTGTGAGAAAAAAAAGGTGTGGCCAAAAAAGGATTGAGGGTGCAACTTAAAGCAATGAAATAATAATTGGTAGCTACACTTATAGTATTGAATTTTACAGAAAATATACATTCATTAGTTAGCTAGGCTGCATATTTAGTTTTACTCACCATCATGCCACAAGTTGAACAAAAAATGCAACCAAGCTAACTAATGAACGAATATTTGCTATAAAATTCTTATCAATACTATAAGTGTAGCTACCAATTAGGCTGCCAATTATTATTTCATTCCTTTAAGTAGCACGCTGAATCCTTTTTGGCCGTACGTTTTTTTCACACATGATTTTTTGTCGATACACACCATCAGACCACACCAAATAAGAAAGTGACACTTGATAGTAACCAACATTAGCTTTAGGATTGCCAACCTATTATGTGGAACAGATCTATACTTTACAGAACCAACCAGATTCTTTAAAATATATGGTGGTAGTGTTTTCTCTCTAAAACAGTGTTAGTAACTTCCTTTATAGTAATGCCACAGAATCTAGATTAGCAGTTTCTTGTCATCACCCGCCTGCACTCTGTACAGCTGTGTCAACCATCATTATTTATGCTGATTGCTTAAGCTAATATCATGTGATGCTAAATGCTCTTTAATTAGAAGAATTTCATAAAATTTAGCAAATTTGTGCTTAAAAGTTACAATGGATAATAAATAGCACAGCGGTATGTTTTCGGACTTACAACATGAGAAACCGGGTTTCAATACTCGTGGAGGGCACAGCACAGGTAACCCATTGTGTAGCTTTGTGCTTAACTACAAACAAACCAAATCATTGTACATTTGGGGAATGAGTGATTGATTTTTTCTGTGTAATTGATAATATGCTATATTTGTAGGAAGCTAGAAGAATAAGCTCAAAATAAAAAGTGTTTCCACTATGGTTTTTAATATATCTTGCAAAAATAGACAAAATACAGTATCTTAGACTACAAAATGCCAAGAAATGTCTGAAAAAGAAAAGATTGACAATGTTTAACAATGGCATAGCATCTCATAGAATGGCTCCGAGTTTTTCTCAAGTACAAACGTTTAGCTCATAGCCCCATCTCTTGACCGATTTGATATCTGTTTACAGCCACAGCTACTGAGGATTCCCTCTTATTAACATGTCATTCTTAATTCATCAAAAATTAGGCTTCCAAAAATATGCATTAATCAAATTTTATACCAAATTTTTTACATTTCCACATTACTAAAATTCATCAGTTGAGCATGAATTCAAGGTTTCTAATAGTAATATAATGATTGGTAAAATGGCCCACCCCATCAAATAAAAAATTAAAAAAAAAACAAACGGAGGGTGAAATATGGAAATTTGATTTTTGACAGCTGTAAGTAACCTTGAATGTGTTTCATGTCAACAACAGCAAGTATAGAAGAAACTGACAGAACCAGCTTTGTAATGGTCTTCATTGGCAAGTAAAACCGATATTTGTAGAGACTGCAGTGATGTTAATTTATATCAACTCTGGTCTTTTAAAACTTCAAGAGAAACCACAAGTGTAACCTAGTGAAGCACTTGGTAACACTGGATCGGTGCTGTTTCCAGTACCATTTGCATCTGTAAAGGATTTTCTTGATGAAACTTCACATCTTTCTCCATGTTAGTAGAACAACTCTGCAGTGTTATCTGTGCTCTTGCTGTTCCCTCCATCATCACACAAGCAACATGCATATAATGTAGTTGATCAGGATTGGGGTTCTGCTGATGCTTATGACTAAGTAATACTATTACTGATGATTCATTCAGTTGCTTGATCTGTTTTAAACAGATATCATACTGACATCTTGTCTGCCCATCCTCAGGTGCAATAAACCATAATGTGTTTGCTTCACTAGTAATTAACACATAAGATGTTCTTTAACATACAGTTCCATAGGTGCTAATGATCTCTATCTTGGGAATTATTGGTAAGGATACTGCATGTCATGAAACATCTGTCTAGTCTATCACTATATAAAACCCAACTAACTTTTATCCTTTTATCATTGGAATATTTTATCAGATAGTCCTGTCTTGGTTAATATTTTACTTCATAAGATTCTGGTTCAACATTAAATGTTTTGACGTCCAATCATGTCATCCTCGGGAGTGTTTCAATTGGACATCCAAACATGAAGAGTAAATGTTTTAAGATTTTTTGACAGTCTGAAAATAAATCTTTTAAATTGTGTACTTAAGAAATGCTTATTGTTTGAGTATTTTGATTTTTTATATTTGCATAAGTACCTTGAATTTTAACCTTTTAATATTTGTAACTAGAGAGGAGACCGGGAGTGCCACATTGTGGTTCTTGTAGATGATGACATTGTAGACTGGGATGAAGATTATCCTCCTCAGATGGGAGAGGAATATTCACAAAGTGAGTATGAGGTCAAGGATTATCAGAAACAGCTTTCCTTTTACATTTTCATGATCATGTTTTCAATAGTTAAAACCACTCACTGAGAACATTTATTTTTTAATTTGTTTACAGAAAATAAAATTATACTTGGGCATTCACACACTTGATATCTATTCTGATTGTTGGATAAAAAAATGTTTTAAATACTTCTTCCATTAAACTTGCAATGTTTGAGGAGAGGGTATAAAGAAAACGTATAAATTAATATCTTCTGAAAAATATGATGTGTTTGAATTGGAGAGTTTTATGTTTACAGTAGTAAGCCTTGGTACTTAAAATGTTATCTATATTTGCAGCAGCTATTATAACATAAAGAGTATCATTTTGAGTGGGGTAAATGTTAGTTAAATGTGGACTAACATCTGTTTTTGTGGGGTTTTTTTCAGTTATTTACAGCACTGCTATGTACAGGTTTTTCAAGTACATTGAAAACAGAGATGTTGCCAAACAAGTTCTTAAGGAACGAGGATTGAAAAAGATCAGACTTGGAATTGAAGGTAATTAAACTAGTTGCTAGAAGTTACAGAAAGTTTCTTGGAACAGTTGTATTTTAAGTTGAAATATCATCTTGCTGTTTGTGTTCTAAGAGTGTTTAAATGGCTTGTCATCAGGGCTGGTTCTAGACCTTAACATTTGAGGGGTAAGGGGCCGTAAAATAAAAGTGTTTACATGATTTTTTATGGCTCATATTTGGATGCACTTTTTTGTTTGTGACTGTGAACTAAATATTTTTATAAATGTTGCCTTCAAAAGCTTTGCTTGTGATGCTGTTTTCACTACATAATGTTTCTTATTCCTTATTTTGTAAACATATGCTTGCTGATGGATCCATTTAAGATAAAAAAAAAAAAAAGCATAAGGAGAACAGAATCAATATTCTATTGAATGTATGCCAGAAAAGATGCATTAAAAATAACATAAAATATATTTTTAAATGGTGTGTAAAAGTTAATTTGATTCTCTGTATTCATTTAACTGATTGATATTTCAAAACAAATTTGCCTGATTTTTATCTCTGTGTGTGACTGATTGGTTAGATTCTCCTCTTTGAGAATGTTAACCAAATATGTCTGTGTGTGTGTGCTTCTCTAATAATATGTATGTACAACAGTTTTAGACAATGGTGTAGCAGTAAAATTTTTTTGTACCACAGCAAAACTAAATCCTAATATTTCCTTGAACTATATATACATATATAGGCTGCATTTTAGGTATTTAATTTGTTTGTAATTACTATCCATTTACCAGTCAAAATTTTAAAACCAACTGGTATATCAGAGTCATAAAAATACAGTTGATATATTTTCTGTAGTTAATACAGCATTTCCACATCATAACAATATACTACTTGTATATATACAAGTTTAATACTATAAAATACTATATATACAATGAGTTGATTTTACATATATTTTGTACTTATTTTAATTTTGAAAAAAAATAACGGGGGCATTTTGGTCTGTTCTGGCCCCTCTAAACTATTTGTTCTAGGTTGTATTAAAGCTTTGTTCCTTCTTCTATGGGTACAAGGCAATTACAAATAAATAAAATAAAATGGAGTCAGCACACATTGTTTGTGTAGAAGGATTTATCTCATCTAAGAGGTCTTTAGTATTGGTTAATTGTGGTGGCATAGATGGCATCATTAACTTCACATCTTCAACACATTTTTCCAAATATCACATTAGAAACCATCGACACAATGCTCAGTTTTGTCCTATACAACAGTTATTTTCAATTCAGTGACACTTTGTACAAACAAAAGAAAGGAGTTCCTATGGGTAACAGAGCAGCAGTCACATTTGCTATAATATTCATGCATACACTAGAAACCAAAGCCCTTGACACGTATAGAAAAATAAAACAGGTTTAATACCGGGAGTATGGTACTAATACTTTGATCACATATCTGGTATATGGAATCATGGAAAAGAAACACTACAGCAGTTTTGCTATTTCCTAAACAACTTCCACCCATCAGTCAAGTTCACACTGAAACTACCCAATGCAGAAGGATATTTAACGTTCTTAGATGTGACCCTAAAAATACAAGACAGACGAATACAGAGCCGATATTTCTCCATTACAAATCACACCACCCAGAGTGAGTCAAAAGGGGAGCAATAGGGGAGAATTAACAGGAATCTATCAAAACTAGTCCACACACAATGCCATTCAAACAACACAAAAAGACTTCAAAACACTACTATTATAAAATGAATATCCCAAAAACACACACAAAAATGCCCACAAAGTTCTTTTCATAAACAACACAATCACAACCAAGATTCATAAAACCGTTGAACAATCCCAACTGACAATCAACATAACTCAAAACCAGGTAAAACACTGAAAGAACTATTAGTTTACACTTCATACTCACAAACAGAATGTGCCAAAAAACACTGCTATGCCAGAGAAAACAGAGTAGCACTAATGTGCCATATCAAAAACATAGTCTATCAAATCATTTGTAACATATGTGGAGATGCATATACGAGAAACCGGAAGACATTTGCAAATTCACATCTCAGAACACATCAGTGCATTATATACATATGACCAACACAAAACCACTCCAGTAGAACACTTCCTATACAAACATGGAATGTCAAACACAAAAAACCAAAACCCCATTAAAGTTTCCATCTTACAGAAAACCAAAGATTTTAAAGAGAGGAAATGTATGGAAGCTATACTCTTTAATAAAAATAAAAAGTCCTGAAATGAACAGACAATGAATGGTACATGTAAGTAAACTGCCATTTAAAAAAACAGTGCATCATACCAATACACTTGATACTATTACTTTCAGTTTAACACTGCTTGTAAACTTTGTATCTTTTCAACTTTAAATTTTTGTTTCTTAACAGCATCTATTTTCCATCTATGTGTTTGTTTAATTAATCATATTGTGGTTCTCATTATTTTTATGTTTCATGTACATAATATATGTCATATGTTAGTATAGTGGTTTAGTTACATTATAACTATAATATTAACAATAGGGAATCAATAATAATAATCCATACGTTGTAAGATGCACATTATGGCACACTTGAGAAATAGAACATTACAAGCAGTTTTATAATTTAATGAATATTCTAATATCAAACAGTTGTATGCACTAACCTTTATAAACCCACAAAGGTAAAACATTGGTTAAAATAAATAGGTCTTTAATAATTATGTGGAGTATAAAAGTAGTTTTTTTCTAAATACTTACTCGTGTGTAAAGAGCAAGATATTTTTTAAGTAACATTTATTAAACTAGTGATAATGTACGAGTTCAAAAATACAATAACAGAAACTCATAAATTTTAATTATTATTAAAATCAGAACTTGCCTACCATAAAAGTTGCTATTATTGTAATTTTGAATTAATTATTCAGTTCAGTAGATTCCTCACTGAAGGTTAATATATATGAGTTCATTTATTTTCTGACTGCCCTGAAGTTGAGTTAAACTATTCCAACATTATGGATTTCTGTACAAGGTAAGGGGACCTTTCAGAGAAGGTTCTTATTGTACAGTTTACTTTTTTTGGGGGGATCCAAACATCCATCTGCATATCTGATGTTTGTGGTGACTCATGAAGAGAAGAAAAGAATATGTATGGTTGAATGTGCGTGGGTCACTGAAATACAGTACTTTGGCCTTGAATTCCTGCAGACGGAGACATTGGGTTGGCTCCCTCAGGATCATTTGGCTTGTTTGTTTCATGTGCCAGTATTGGACATCTTCAGTGGGTTGTGTGGTACTAGTGCCCATGAAATCCTGACAATTCAACACTGTCCTCAACAGGTTGAGGTTTTGAAAGTCTAATTTGTCTCCTGGTAGGACTTGATGTTTGGTTCAGCACTGAAATTTTTTTACTTAACATTTGGATAAAAGAAATTTCAATTTCACAGATTATCTAAAAAAGGGACTATAAACAGATGATCACTCTTACATTACTATCCTCTGCAGTTCCTCTACCCTGATTTCAGATTTTACATTCTTTGTCAGAAACTTCTCCTTTATAGGTGTTTCCTTTATATAAAATTGTACAGAGGGACTTGATATTTCTCCAAAGTCAATAAAGAAACTAAGGTTTGGGGCTGTATTTGTCAAACCCTCACAACAGTTAAATTTGTGATCAGAGACTAGTGTGTGAATAATCATTGAAGTTGTCTCTCATAGCACTTTGAATTCATCAACATGTAGTTGATAGGGATCTTTTTCACATCCCTTATTACAATCTTCTTGCTGGTCTTTCCAATAAAGAAGTATTAGTCATTAAGCAAACCTTCACTTAAAAGAACGAAATTATTGAGCTGACTAGGGTGCTTATTTTTACTTGTACGTCTTCACACCTACCCACCCAATATAAAAGCAAGTTAGTTGACTTGTAACATTTAGCCCTATATTCCAAATTCTATCCAGTGTTTTCACTGTCAGTAGTTTGGACACACTAAACATCTTTTTTGTTCCTTAACTGTGCTCCTTTCAGTGGCAAACATCATGATAGCACTGATAGTCAGTTGAGACCACTCTGTGTCAACTACCTTGGTTCCCACTTCTTTTACTGTAAATCATGTTCCAAAGGGTGAAGGAGAAAGAGGTAAAGAGACTGAAAATTCTAAATGAAATCTTTTATTCTGAGACATAAGGGTAGTGATACGTGTAAACAGAGTTACACTGCTGCAATCCATTTAACTGTTAGAGTGGGAGTTACATACAGATCTTACTGTTCCACCAGCATATATTTTTCCACATATGAATGCTCTTTTGCCTTGCTTGGACATAGCAGGTGGATTAATTTACATCCATCCCATCTCTGCTACTGCCATTAGCAAAAATTGGTGATTGGAACCAGTTTCATCAGTCCCCAATGCACATATAAGACCATTATTTGGCCTTACCATTGTTCACTGGAATCCTTTTCTTCTGATAAGGACTTGACCATTTGATCCCATTTAAGGTCTTTGAAGGCCAATAGACTTGCCATGAAGAAAAATAGAAGTGGTTTCCTAAACACAGTAGGTGAAAATAGCTATGCTGATACAGTAGAACTTTTGAGGTTTCTGTGTTAATTTTGATGACATTAAGGCTTTGGTCATTCTTATCCTATGTGTATATCCTTACAGGGCATATCTTGAAACTGCCAATACTGTCACCTTTCAGCTATTTTCATTATACAGAAAGGACAGGTAGTGTGACACATTCCATGGAAAAGTAGCACTGCTAGTTAAGCCACCCACAAGATGCTCTTTTTACTTCTCTTTACAAGGGGGAATTGATCAAGACCTTAATTACCTTATCTGGTATTCGCTGCCTCTGCTGATTGTGTTAGAAGACTTAAATAGACACAATCCACTCTGTGGTGGTGTGTATGTATTGATGGGAGGAATCATTCAGTGGACTGTTTATTTCCCAATCACAATCTTTCTCTCCCATACAAGAGAGTATACATATTTCCATGTCCCAATTTAGACATTCACAATTATTCATCTTTTCTTCTTCCTTTTCTTAGGTAGTGGACAATGCTCCACAAGGAAGTGATAACTTCTTTCCATTCTGAAGGTACTTATCCACTGTCAACTAATGTTTCATGGCAAAAGCTGGAGAAGGCTAACTGGTTCTTCTTCGCCACACTCTCGGAGCTTGATCATGCAGAACTTAACCTATAGTCTGGTAATAACTGTATGAAGGTAGTAATTGATTGTATTGTCCATACAGTTGTACTGAATCTTACTTATTAAAACCTTGAAAGTTTTCCATGGACACCTGACTACCAAAGTGGTATGGATGGCTCACAAATAAGCATGAGATATCTTGCATAGCCTTTCAGAAGACGTGTGGCTATTTCTGGTAGATCAGGTATCAAAGCCAGAAGGAGTCTTGGTTTAAGTTCACTTTTAGCATTTCTTCTACCACCATTTCAAATGTCATTTGGGACGAGATTTCAAAGGTCAATTTTGCAACCCAGTGGCCATAAAGTTGCTGATATACAGAGTATTGCCAATACCCTTGGAAAGTATCTCTCTCACACACACCTAATTTGAACCAGAATACATCCATCTTTTCTTAGGCATAATAGTCTTTATGACTGCAATTGACCACTCACTCAGGTGGAACTCAAACTTGCTCTACATCATTCTAGCAATACATCAACTGGACTAGATGACATCCATTATGAGATGATATGCCATCTCTCTTAGTCTTCTTTTAGTTCTTCCTAACCTGTTCTGGCAGGAGGAGGAGGAGTTGACTTATTTGTGTTGTTGGGCTATTGTCATCCATTTACCTAAGCCCAGGAAGGATCCCTAGATTCCTTCTAATTATTGACCTATTGCTTTGAACAGCTATCTGTGTAAACTTCAGGAGAAGATGGTTAATGTTTATTTATTAATTTTTTGTTTTCTTTCTAGAATCAAAAAATCTCCTCTCCAGTACCTCTGGTTTCCACAGACCAACAATTCAACTAGAAATGCCAATAAGAGAAACCTTTCTCAAGAGATACCATTTTGTTTCTGTCTTTTTCTGGTTTTGAGAAAGCTTGTGACATCATGTGGAGGTTCAGCATACTACACAATCTCCATTCATATGGGTTTTATGACCGCTTACCCATTTTCATTCCAGGTCCATGTGGGATGAATACTATCTCAGTCCTTCACACAGGAGCACAAAGTACCTCAGGGCTGTGCCTCACTTTTTAATATTATGGTCACTGAACAGTTCCCTCCTTTAGTCATAAATAACATGCTTGGCTATGACTTTCATATTTCCTGTAAGTCATTAAATATGAAGTACATTGAACAGCAGTTCCAAACTGCCCTCAAGAAATTGTGTGAATGGGTTATTGCAAATAGTTAACAAATTTTCTCATCGAAAATCCTTTGTATGCATTTCTTCCACCAACAGGATTGCACCCTGATCTTGAGTTCCAACTGGGAGTTGCACAAATTCTTATAGTGGCTGAGACAAATCTCTTAGTGCTTATCATTGACAATAAGTTCACTTTTATTCTTCACATAAAACAGCTTAAAGTCTAACGTACAAGAGCATTAACTGTCCTCTGTTCCATCTGTTGAGGAGCAGAAAGGTGTTCTATGTCCAAGATATTTTATACCTTGATCTGATCAAGCTGGACTATTGACCTCTGGCATTATGCTCAGTCATTGGCTTGGCATTGAAGATGTTGAACCCCGTTCATCATCAGAGGCTTTTTGCACTTCTCTCGTCCCGAGTTAATACACAAAGTTTATAAACCTCCACTTCACCTTGGACATATACAACTTTCTTTGCAGTGCACTGCAAAGCTGCAGTCAGTGTCACTGCAACTCCCCTGCCAATGTGTGTTTATGCCTTGGTGGGCTGTGCTTTTTGCAAATAAGCAGTCTGCGGTCCCTGAGTTTAGCTTTCTAATCCATGCAAACTTTACTGAGATAGGTCTGACATTGGACAATGTTGCTGAATCTGATGATAAGCTCATCTCACCATGACTTGTTACCATCCCCACTTGTGTTATTCTTTGAGTAGCATGAAAAAGTCATATTCCAATTTCTCTTTAACAAACTCCTTTATAGCCATCCTTTTGTCCCACTGTTTACAAATAGCTTAAAATCTGTCAACTCTGTGGTCTTATTTATGGCTTGCTAACAACTCTGTAGTTTCTGACAAGATCCCCTCTGCAGCTTCTATGTTCAATGCTGAGTTGTATGCAATCTCGCTCAGTATCACATAGAAGCTAAGTGGTACATTAACTGTACTGTCTATAATGACTTACTTAACTCTGTGGAGGACCTGGAACCACGTAATTTCAGCTCACACTATGTTCTATTAGATATTCATCTGGATTACTGGCCATGTCAGAATCTTAGGGAATGAGCTCGTTGACACTGTTGCAAAATTGGCTTTCACTGGTGATGTCACTGCCTTGCCTATTTCACATCATTTAATAAGTGATTTTGAGGGAGAAAAGAAACAACAAACTTTTCCAGATAAAACCTATTATTACTTACTAGCCGTCTAGTTTGTGCATATAATATTATTTATTGTTATTTTCATTAACAGTGTTGGTTATACAATTTAGTGTATGGAATGTCATTACTTTTTAATGTGAATTATACGTTATTATTAAGCTAAACCTCCTAAGATGGCTGAAACTTATGAAAATGTCATTAACAGCTAATTAAACAGTGTATTTTAATCCTTATAAATACAAATGCAAGAACTGTATACTTAGTTAGCTATACTGATTACCAGGTTGATTTTTAATTTCACTCTACAAACGTAGAGTGCTCTGATTAGAAGTTAATATAAATGGTTTTTTTACTCATTATTTTATCTTGCAAGAGCTTAACCAGCCACCATCTGAGCAGTGTGATATTCAAGTCACAACTTCCCACATATTGCTTTCATACCATTGCAGCATTGTAGACTTTTTTTTTTACTTAAATGGGGTTTCTTTAATATCGGATAATGTTATTGGTATTGATAACACTGTCAAGATTGACCCTATTTTATTTATTTATTTTTTTTTGCAGGCCTAAGGCATTTTTAATGTTTTGTGATATTTTTAGAAAAGGAGGATAAACAGACAATTCATATATGTTTTAGTTATTTTGTATACACATTTCTTTCTTAATCCACTTTCTTTCACTATTGTTTAACATTGAGAAAACAGCTTTGACACTGATATCCTTGGAGCCATGAAACCCAAACAACTACCTAAAAAGGCCATTCTAGTGTTAACAGATATATGGAAATTCTACTAAATGGAAATATAAGTTCTAGGAGTTTTGTTATATCCTGAAGTTTTGTTCTCAAGGTTTTTTAACGATAGCATCTCATGCATAGAAACAAGATCAAAATTGAAACTAGCTTGGGCATTATCTGTCTGTTCTGAACACCCAAATTCTTTAATCTTTAATTATCAAAGTTGCCTAGTATTAAGTTTCCACATATGTTAGTAAATATAAAATTTTGTGGTGTAGTGTTGTGTTTGTTCATCCGATTTTGTTTCTTTCTTGTAACTAGGTTATCCGACATACAAAGAGAAGGTAAAACGGCGTCCTGGTGGACGAGCTGAAGTAATTTACAACTACGTCCAGCGACCCTTCATACGTATGTCATGGGAAAAAGAAGAGGCTAAGAGCCGTCACGTGGATTTTCAGTGTGTAAAGAGCAAATCCATCACGAACCTTGCCGCAGCTGCAGCTGATGGTGCACTTGAGCCCCCTGCAAACATAGTTGGAGTAGTTGCAACAGTAGAAGCCCAACCTGCTGTAGCACTGGAGGAAGATGGTGCTGTTGGTGGTATGGGTGCTTCCTCACCAATTGTGCCACCACACCCTTCCCAAAAAGAAACATACCCAGAAGTTCAGCTACCACCAGAAGATCTGCCATAAAAAAAAGCTGAAGTAAGTACTGAATAAGGCTCAGATTTCAACCTCAGTTTTCAGCTTAGCCTCTCGTGTGAGGGTATACGAGTATGCTACTTCCATTAAGTCAGAATTTGTCTGTTCTAGTTTTCACTAAAGAACAACTGACTGGTGACTCCTACTAATGTCAGTCTTTCAGAGGAGTAATTAGTGTTTCTCATGCTGTGCTTGAAGAGTGTTGTATTACTGAAAGTTTTCACTTTTCCATTTGAGCAGAGAAGTATTTAATGGAAAGAAAATGTTGCTCATAAAACAAATATGGGTTGATTGTTCCTCTGATAACACTGTATGCATGCTAGTAACATTACCCTGGTTTCATGTAATGTAGGAATAAAGAGAGAGAGGTTCCTTATACATTGAATTATCTTGCTAAATCTGATCAAGTAGGCAGCTTTGTGTGAATTTTATAGGTATAACTGATGGAAAATCTTACTGCAATGGTTACACAATTATCAAAAATATCTAAAGCAGACAAAAAATGTTTTCATTGTTTTATTTATGAGTCATGCTTTTTGTAATTTTTTTAACCTACTTTCATATAATCAGTACTTTAAACATTTAATTAAGAATAATTATTCTCTCATAAAAGAAATGTTACACTGTAAAAAATTTTGCTTATTTGTACTGATTCCTGCTCAATATTGAAGGCATTCTACTGTACATTATCTAAACATGATGAAGTTAGTTAATCCAACTACTTATTATGAGTTTTCTTAACAATTAAGAATACTTAAGTACAGGTATCGGTCATTCGTGTAGTTGACTTCCCAGAATACTTTGTTCATACTTTTTTTTCTTCTTCTATCTATTAGATCATGTTTTTGGGTAGATTATATCAGGACTCTTCAACGTTCCATTCATATTGAGTTAAATCTTAGGTCAACTTTCAACTGTAAACACAGTAGATATTTTCATTCATTGCAAAGGTTTTTCTGAGTTATATTTACCTTTGGTCTTAATATAAGTGTTTATTTCTTAATTGAATTCTTTCTCTTCTGGTCGTTTCTTGGTCAGTTAGTATTTATCACGGTCATGGGTTATTAGCCTAAAGTTAAGTATTTAATCTTTTGATAAACTGATTTAATAAATAAAATTCCTAGTAAAGTGCTTGTTTCACATTTCAAACTGATTTCTCATTCTTGTATATGCTAGAAAATATTATTATATGAATTTTATTTTCAATTTCCTCCAGCTGTTTTCATTTTCTGATTTTAATGGTAATTTTTGTGCTGCTAATATAAAGTTATTTATATGTACCTATTGTAAGTATTTCACTGTTACCCAGAATTTAGCTTTATTACTGAACATAAGATTTCAAGGGAGTAAAAATTTAACTGCTGTACGAATTTGAAGTCACTACTGCTTTTGTTTAATAAACATACTTTACATAGGCTAATAATACAAAATAGCTGGTGTAATTTTTTTGCAAATCATTTATGTTGTTGTGTTTGGTATCAAAATTATGAAGGTAACTATATCATTGATTAAGTGGAATATTGCTCTTCTTAATAATAATTTGTTTTTGCTTCTCTTGTATGACTTGTGTTATAGTCTGAGATTTCAATCTTGTTAGTGTATTGAAATATAAAACAGTGGTATGAAGAAATGCACTGTGTGTTGTGGTGTGTTTCTTAGATTATAGAGTATTTGTAATATTACTAACACTTTTATCAATAGTAATACAATACTAAGTAAGATGTTTAAGTTAAACATTTAAACAACATTGATATGTGTAAAAAAAATTTTAACCTCGTTCAAGTACCGTTGTTGGCTTGTACACTGTAAAGCTTAGAATAATTTTATTGTTATTGTAAATAAATTCTTATTTTAGTGTGTTCTGGTCATTAGATTGAATTTTAGTTTACTAAAAGGAAAGTTAATAACCTCTTGCTCATCAAATAATATAGCTAACTCAGAATTTATATGTTTGTGTTATTATAACATATTAATAGTGTGCAACTGTGTTACCATTTGAAATTCGTCATTGTCGTTATAATTCTTCATTTGTTTATTCTTTTTTTTTCTGCAATTACGTTTTTAAAGAATAACTATTAATGTCTCAAAAGTACCAATGCAAGTGTTAAATAATAATAATAAAAAGAGTTATCGTAATGAATTTGTACACTTGACTGTGACGAAGTTATTAAAGTGTTTTGTATACTCACAGTTTATGGCAAATATATTCCCAAAATTGTTTGTATTCATCAGTGTAAATTTGAGGATGGTATGTATTAATTAGCCTTGATGTATACATACCTCTGGTATACTTCTGACTACCGTATTTTCCTAGAATATTTTATATTTCTCAGTGTGTGAAATCAACGATATTATTTGCTAACTTTGATATATTAATGTAATGATTGTAATTAATATATTCCTACAGTGTTGTATTTGTCTGCATAAAGTTAGGGTTATTGCTTATTATTCGTGATATACTAATACGTGTCTGTAATATTTGGGTATTCTGTATTTGTCGGCAATATATCCCGTAGTACTTTTATATATCCGATACTTCAGATTGATATTTCTAAATTATTATGTGCTTATCAGCATAAGATCAAAATGTTTCTGTTGAGTATTGGGTATGATTCACATGTTTTCTTAAACCTATATATATATAGACATTTGATTTACATTATGTACTACAAACTTTAAAATATTATAGATGTAAAAACTATAAATATTCAGAAGAAAATTTAAATTCTTAAGGAAAAAGCATTATTGTAGGAGGTATTTGAGATTATTATGAAAATATAAAAAAATTTAAAGATAATTGGGATTATTTAAAAAAAAATTCAGGAGAGATTATTAAGAAAGAAACAAAATGTTCAGAAGAAAAGATGACAAGTGTATAAGAGGAATTTATAATAATTATGTCCCCCCCCCCAAGTCCGTTATGGTTACTGCTTGTTGGAAGTATTTATGGCTAAATTAGACATCAGAACATTTATAGAAACTCGTATTAATTAAAACAATTACCTGGATAACTTAATAAATAAATACAAGAAAAAGAACAAATTATGTAAGCATAAGTTTAGAAAAAGGCCTCTGTTTTTTTTTTCTCTCTCTCTCATTTGACATCAAAAATGTGTGTTTTTATTGCTTTATATTCAGGTACTGCTACATGCTTGGTTTGGAGTAATATTTTAGTTTACTTCGTGAATGATTAGAAATCATTATGAATTATGTTAAAACAGTGCGTTCTAATCTTTATTAATAAGAACAATATATTTAATTAGCTATGTTCATTACGGGGTTGAGTTGTATTTTTGATCTAAGTAGGTAGCTTGCTCTGATCGGAAGTTAATTTATTGTTCTAAGAGGTATAGAGTAATCATTGCTGCAGACCTGGTGACACCACAAAACTAATCGCACCAGATTCACTTGTAGATTACACCAAAATTGTACTCCTTATACTTTTAGCCCCCCTCGGATCTGTACACGTGGTGGGCTCATCACAGATAGCCCATTGCGTAGCTTTGCAACAAATGTTATCGTTTTATTCTGTTACTCTTGTTTTAAAAAATATGATTTGTAGAAAACGTTATTGTATATCTAGCTATTGTCGTGTGGGTCAAGGGGAGTTTTCTTCATTACCATCATTCAATAGAAAGGTTGGAACTGATGTCATAATATATTATACCTGAATTACCATAAAGAATTAGTACTCAATCATAATTTTATGCTGTCACTGTTTTATATAACGTGTTTATGTATATATTTGACTTGTCAATCATCTTATTTTTAGCGTTTTACAGTTTACTTACTTATGAGTATACACATCTGGGTTTACTTGTCAATTAACAGCCTTGCGTATTACTGTTAAAACCAGTTAAACAGTTCGTGGCGCGTATTCGCAACAGTTTAAAAAATGTTATTAAACGCTATACGTTTCAACGTAGCGGCCACGTTGTGCTTATAACAAAAAATGTTTAAACTCTGTAAATAAAAAAAACAACAAAAAACATCGTGTTTTGATTAATTTATTTTAACATAAAATGGTTCTTCTGTAACTTGAATAAAAAATCGTTTGTTTGTCTTTTTGTTTCCTTTTTTAATAAAGATCTTAAGAGTTTCACCAAAATTCTACAAGATAAATAAAACCCTATTGAGGTTTAAGTATTGTATGTTCTATGAAAGTTTAAGTGGAAATGCTAACTCTTATTTTGTTTTTTTTAAAAGAAATCTCTAGTTTCTATTCCGAATTTTAATAACTAATAATTTAACTATGATGTTCACTTTTATTCTTATCATGATGCATTTCTGTGAGTATTACGTGAAGTGCTTGCAGAAATAGTGCTTATGTGAGTGAGTTGTACTCGAGCTCATTTAGGAAAAACAATATAACATTCTCAGTAATAATGGATTCGGTGTGTCTACAGACTTACTTTGCTGCTTATGCTTTTAGGTTAGTTTGATGTCTGTATAAAAAAAAAACAACAACAATATATCAGCATGTAGTCAAAATTAGCTACTATCACACTATAAAAACACCAGTAAGTGTATTAAAAACAGTTGCTTTTTTTATAGGTTTTAGTTTATTTTCCCTATATCTGGCTAAACAGTTGCACGCGTATTTTCCCGAAATTTTCACGAGTCCGTATGATATACTCTGAAACATTAATTTAAGCTTCATCGCGTGAATTGTTTCCCTTCATTATTTTCTTCCAGAAAAAAAAACACATCACATACGTGTGTTCCTAATCGTCCTCAGAAATCTATCTTGTCAAAATATTTCTTTGTTTAATTTTGTTGTCTCTTCAATAAAAGACAGCATAAATACAGGTTATGTTGGATGTCTACATTTTATTGCGCTTTATCGCCACAATTTTGACGTGTGACAACATTTTGTATAATGTGCCCGTTTGTACCCTATCATTCTTAAATTTTCTGTGACTGACAACATTTTGTATAATGTGCCCGTTTGTACCCTATCATTCTTAAATTTTCTGTTCATAGTAATTTTTTTTTGGGGGGAGCGGTATTTAGTTCAAAATGTATTCCAACTTTCTGATTGTATTAAACTATCTAAATACAATAAACTTTCCCTTTGAACGATTTGAATCCAGTTTATCAGAACTTCTGTAAAGTAATGACGGAGAAAATATTCGAAATTTATATGATAAAAATGTTTGAATGAAGAAAATATATATATATATATCATTTATTATTGATGAAAAACGGGTTGGAAGTGGAATACCTGTCAGGAAGAGGTTTTGTGTTTTTGTTAGGACTAATTGTTTAAAAAAAAATAGTTTGGGTATAAAACATATCATTCTGATTTATAGGAAACCAGAAGTTTTTAACGTTTGTTTAAAGATAAATAATATTGTATTCACTAATCCCCTATTGTATGATCAATAGATTCGGGAGGATGATTCCAATCCTCGTTATATTTTCTATAAGATTTATAGGTTTTTATGACGGAAGCTGTGCGTGTTCGTTCCAAGTCAGTGATGAGATTGAAACTAACCCAGTATATCCTACTTTTACGTTTTAAGTGTGTTCTTCTAACTTTTTATCGTATTTTTAATTTTATTTGATTATGTACTAACTCATTTACGTTTTCTTCATTTCGAAAATATAAATCGTTAAATCGGTTTTAAGCTCGATTAATCATCAACTTGGGTTTTCAAGTTAATTTCGCGTTTTTTTGTTTTTTTCCAAAAATTATACATCTGTTTCGAAGTTGTGGTAACCTTGAACCTAGCATATTTTCGTGTTTTAATTTCAAGTATTAGTCATTTTCAAAGTGATTTGTCACCTCTGTGTCTGCTGTAGAAACATTCTTATCATTAATACGAGTCCTTTGTATAATATTTCTTCACTTTATAATAAAATATTGTACTGAAGAAATAGTTTAATGTGGTTATTCTCATACGGGGCCGAGCGTGATACATAGTCATTAGTGGGATGGATATCGTCAGACAGGGGCGTAGCCAGCATTACAAAGTGTGTGTGTGTGTGTGAGGGCGGGGTCTACACAAAAAATTTAGGTGATTGACATGAAAATCAGATGTATATCTTTTTAAAATGTTAAAATAGTGGAGGTTTTTAATATTTGGAGTGTTCCTTGGAACCCTCCCCCCGTGGCTACGACCCTGTCAGTCCACGGTTCGACCTGTGATATGCCGTGGACGTCAGTTGTGAGAGCGTTGTAATTGTGACAGTTAATCCCGCTGTTCAGTTGAGAGTAATCCTGGGTATGGCCTAGCGAGCTATGAATCGAAGAGTCCGGGGTTTGAGACGAGATGCTGCTGAACACGTTATGGCTAAGTGAAAATTGAAGAAGTTATAAAAAAAGATGCTTTATTATAGCAATTGTTTCTTAACACAGAATCTCTTCCTCAACTAGAGGCACCTCGATGGCATATATTGGATGTAAAAAATTCGGGATATATCTGATTTCTGTGAAACTTATAAAAGGTATACCTGCCCGGCATGGTCAAGTGGTTAGGGCGCTCGACTCGCAATCTGTGGGTCGCGGGTTCGAGTCTCCGGCTCATGACGTACAAACGTTGATAACCTATTCACCCATTCTTAAGCGAATGATGTCAGAAGCGCTACAAGATTTCTCCATCTTACTTGACTGGTATGTGGGTATCCGCTTTTGATATTCCAATAAATGTATATAGATTTATTATAAATGGTAAACATATCATGCACGTACTTAAATATCTTTTAAAACCAATTCAACCCAACATATGACGCTACATATCGATTGATAGATAGCGACAGTTTCTAAAGGTAAAGTATATACTTTATACAGGTATAACATAAAAAGTACACAAACAAGGTTATTTAAAATTATGAATTTTAAAATGAGGTAGGATCTTGCTACAAAAAAGTAATAAAACTATAATTAAAACAACAATCACAAATTTATAATATTTAATCTCTACTTTGATAGCTTTATACACTTATCTGTAGGCTAAAGTAAGGATTACATTTTATAAATTTGTGATTGTAGTTTTAATTCTTGTAAAAGTTATAGCTGTCAGGGATATGGTTCTACTGAAAGTTTATAGATGTTGTGTCCATTCCATGGACATATAAGTACTGAAAAAATAAATAAGAAAACAAAAATTCAACCAAAAGTAGGAATCGGTGGTTATTCGTAGAATTGCTATAAGAAATATCCAAAACAAAATAAATGCTGCAATA